ACTCGCGTATTCCACCACTCTATCAGCCTGACTCAACACAGCACCTATACCATGATCACTCGCGTCTGTGGCCACTGTAAACAGTCTTCCCGGTTCAGGCAGTCTAAGCGTCATCTGGCGATCGTCTAGCATGTTTTTGATTCGGTTGAACGTTTGTTCGGCAGTCTCAGTCCACGTAAACTTGGTGCTGCTCAATAACTTATATAAGGGTGCTGATATTTCGTTGAAATTCTTGACAAACCGACTGTAGAACGCCGCTCTTCCCAGGAACTGTCTCAACTTCCTTTTCGAATTAGGTACTGCAATATTTTTTATCGTAAGAATTTTCTCCGACAACGGTTTTATTTCTCCATTTCCCACTTTATGTCCCAACAATGTGACGCTACTTCTCGCTATCTGCGACTTGTCCTTATTAATCCGAAGTCCAAATTCGTCAATTCGCTTTAAGACCGCTTCCACATGCTTGATGTGATCTGTTTCTGTTTGACTGTACACAACTACGTCGTCGCCATATACCTCGACATTATCTAGATTCTTGAGCAGTAGTGTCATTAATCTTCTGAACGTGAACGGTGCACCCGCCAACCCGAACGGCATTCGTTTAAATTGATACTGTTTATCCCGTACAGTAAACGCTGTGTTGCTCCGATCACTCTCTTTTATAGGCAGTTGCCAATAACCTGACCGTAAATCCAGCACTGTAAACACCGTGGCATTCTGTAGCCGATCTAATGTTTCCACCACTGTTGGCATTGCACAAGGTTTCAGGTCTGTTATATTATTCAATTCTCTGAAGTCGACACAAAATCTATACTTCCCTTTTGGTTTCTTTACCAAGAGTACCGGCGAGCTATATGGGCTGTCCGCTTCCTAAATTATACCTTCTTTTAACATTTCCTGGACCTGACGATTTACTTCGGCCTCTAAATGCACCGGGACACGACGTGTTGCAAATATCTTTACTCGACTGTTCTTTATCGGTATTTCGTGCTTTACTCTGTCACAAAATCCATACGGCTCCCCATCTCCAGTGAATAGTTCCGCATACTTTTTGCATAACTCGTGAATGTTTGGTTTCTTTGACGAGACATCCGCTGCAACTCTTATTTCAGCCACTTCGCTACTTTCGTGTATTGTCAATGAACCATATTTCGTGACCACCTTACCGCTTCTTAAGTCAACTATCGCTTTTACTTCTCTTAGGAAATCTGCTCCTAATATCGGTCTCGATAAGCTTGTGGTTACCACGAACGGAAAATTTATCTCCGCATCCCCCACTTTTACGATACTGTTAGATACACCAAACACCTCTAACATATGGCCCCCTATCGTGTGGACAGCTAATGTACACGGCTTGATTCTCTTACATTGCTCTTTGCCTATTAACGATACTGCTGCACCTGTATCGATCAGACAAACTAAATCTCGCTCATTTATGTTCACTCTCGTATATACTGCCCCTCTGTCTACTAACGCAACAATCCCCAGATTCCTAGGATAGAAAGAACACTCGTTGTAACGTCTAACATATCTGCGTCTTCGTCTTGTTGGACAGTTTATCTTCCAATGTCCTGTCCCTCCACAAGCGTAACATTTATCGTTCCTTTTATTGTTCACTCGTATTGCTGCAATCTCGCGCTCCAGCTCCTCAATCTTCTTCTCGACATTACTCATCTGCTTTCCGCACCCGACCGGAGCTACTGTTCGCGTCATCAGCTGACGAGTCACCTTCGCCAGTTCACTGATGTCCATCGGTTGCGCTACGTTCACCAGTTTCAGCTGTTGGGAGACGGTGGCAGGCACACTCTCGATAAACTGTGACGCCAACAACTGTGCCTCCGACTCCTCATCCAGACTCGGCAGCGCACGGCGTAACAATCTGGTAAGCTCCACAGCCAGCACCAGTGGGTCCCCATCGACCGGCAACCTCGCCAACCGGAACTTCTGCAGCGCGTCCTCTCTGTCCACTGGGCTGTCAAACTCCGCCGCCAACCGCTCCGTGACTGTCTCCCATGTGGTCTTTCCGCCAGCACCGTCCAGGCTGTCATACACCGCCTTCGCCCTGCCTCTCAGCAGCGTCCCCAGCACCACCAACTTCGCCTTCGGCTCCTTCACTCCCACCAGCTCCGCCACGGCCTCAAACTCCTTCAGGAAGCTCAGCACATCTCCGTCCTCAAACTCCTTCGGCCATGGGATCTTCATCCTCAGTGGAGGCAGCGACACCAAATGTAGTGAAGAAGAACACGGGTGAGGACAGCCAAATTGTATTTAGGGCAAATTACAGAATTACTTGGTAAAATAGGAAAACCATATAGTAAATCGTTAATTTGCAAAATGTCATTCTATCATATCCATTGTCTCGCATTTCATTGTTCATGCGATTTCTTACAAAGTCCATTGTTTTCTCGCTCTTCTTTTCTTGATCTTCTCCATCTTCTGCTGCCAGACATTACGTTCTTTTGACTCACGTTATATACTACTTATATCAATATAAGTAGCACGCACTACAATTCCATGACGTTGGCACACTCTCTAGTTCCCAAACCTTTGTGAACAACGTCGTCAATTCCTTAATCAGAAAGTCACCACCATCTTTAAAAAGAGCCGGAGGTAAGTCATCTGGGCCAGGTGATTTGTATCGCTTCAAGAGTTGGAGTTCCTTGCGGACTTCATCCTCGTTTGGTGGATCAGTCGTCACCGGCCATGGAGGGTAGGACAGTCTGACCGGTGCTGCCGGAGCAGCAGGCCAGTTGAACTGCCCTTCGAAAAATTCTGCCCATCGTCCAAGACGTCGATGGATGTTAGTGATTGGCATCCCATCATCCTCGCAGATTGTTTCACTCACACCAGACATCTTGCTGTCAGTGGCTCGGATGAGCTGGAAGAGCTTCCGGTAATTACCAGATGCAGCTGCTGCTTCCAGCTCATTAGCACGCTTCGACCACCAGGCTTCTCGGTCCTTACGCAAGCTTTGCCCGATTTCCTTACATAACATCCTTCGTTTATGGTCAAACTCACGGTCACCCGGAGTAGACCGACGGGCTTCAATGAGTTGTAAGGAACCAGAAGAAACCCAGTGCTTAAAAGCGGGACGTTTCGCAAACCCACAACTGACTGTTCCCGCCATTTTCATGGCGTCATGCAATTGCAACCAATGCTCATCTATACTTTTTGGTGGAGTGGTAGCTAGCCTAGAGGCTAGCTCGGTTCGATACTTACTTGCAACCGAAGTTGCAACCAGCTTGCTAACATCAATCCGTTGATGGCGTTCACTTCGTTATCCACTGAAAAGTAAGGCAAGATTGGCGCAGACCAAGGTATGGTCAGAGTCCAGATAGTTACTCCAAAAGGAGCGGCAGTCTTTTACACAACCACGCCAGCGGTAGCTGATCGCGATGTGATCAATCTGAGTCCAGGCTTGGGATGCAGAGGGAGGACGCCAGGTGGCACATCGGCGATGACTGTGCCGAAAGTTAGTGCTAGCCAGAAACAGGTTGTGGTCTGTGCATAGTTGCAGTAGACGGTCCCCGTTATCTGACCTGCGACCAACGAGTCCCCATCGGCCACCTAAACGACTCTCTTCTGTGCCTAGACGCCCGACCTGAGCATTCAAGTCTCCGGCTAGTACTACAATATCTGTCGAACGCACTTTCTGGAGAAGAACAGATAATTGGTGGTAAAACTCATCCTTGATTGCATCCGGGCTGCAATCTGTCGGGGCATAGGCGGAGATGACGAAAAGACATCGTTTCTCACGCCGATTTCTTCTCACTTTGATGGAACTTTCTAATCTAACAGCACATAACCGACTGTTAATGGGGATCCAATCGACTAGTGCTGCCTCAGCTCTAGCGCTTAGTGCGACACCAACGCCTGCAAGACCAGACGAAGATGCCACAGGGTCCCCGGATAAGCGCACGTAAAACAAGCTTTTTGAAGTGACAGATGTAGAGCGAATTCGCGGTACTTCGCTAGAGTCTTGAATACGGGTCTCGGATAGACAAAAAACATCAATATTAAGACTTTCCAAAGACATAGCCAGCCCTATCTGTTGACCAACCTGCATAAGTGTGCGAACGTTGAAGGCAGCCAGTTTGAATGGCGCACGTGGTTTCAGAAAAACTGCTTCAGTACTCATATTCGATGGTAACATACAACTTTCAACCGGACAGTGACTCGAGAACGTTTAGATACAGTCGGATTTCCACCAAAGCCGAGCCGCTGTATAAGTATGAAAGAGGGTGAATAATGTGGGAAATAATAATAATAATAATAATAATAATAATAATAATAATAATAATGACGACAATAATAGTAATAATAATAGTATTAATAATGACAATAATAGTAATGATAATTATTTGAATCGATTGATTGTTTTTGTTTTTCGGAGCGATAAAATTAGTTGCCAAAGACATAGAGTTCATCGTTTGTGTGTGGGCTGTGATACTGCCCGGGTGCCCAAACCGAAGCAGGTGGTTTTCTTAGGGGGCCACTCCCCGAGCCTTTGACCTAAAGGTCTAACCCACAAGGCAGTGGAGCATCGTAAGGAGATGCAATCCCATGGTAGCCGGTGACCAACGATTGGTTCATACGCCATTTGTTCCCGCAGGATACTGGAGCCCATGTGCACCAATGGTTTGTGATCCGGTTAAAGCGCCGGACATTCGCTTTTCGTCCTCTCATTTTTGTAAACAACACCCCCGCCACGAGAAGGCAATGAGTAGGACTTCCCTGGCAGAGGCTGTATACGCGCGGCCGTGTGAGAGTATTTCGAGAGGGAGAGCGGACTCACCCCACTCTCGGCCGTACCAGGGCATTCGGGGGCCTTACCAGGGCATTCGGGGGCCTTAATCTAGAATACACAAGTTATCCTCTGCACAAAAGTGGGTAGACAGATCAAGGACGAAACATCCTAATAACTACCGCTTCTAAACAATTAGGATCAGTTCTATTTTGACTGAATGCGTTAGAATAATATTAATGAGACAGAGCAAGATAAATCAGTGGATGAATTTATTGATTTTAATTAGTATAATCTAACCTATATATCAGACAGGAACCTGACAAAATTGTGAATCAATCAAATCACTATATAGTAAAACACACTGTCGTCTCCCACAAACGACCATAATATAGAGAAATTACTTCCCGATGGACAGCCTAACAGTAACACATCAGAGCAGAATATTTCTTATGAAAATAAAACAACTCACACAAATTAAAATACATTTTACCAAATAACAATATTATGAGTCTAGGATTATTTTTATTCACTTGAAGGTGATCGATCACTAATTTTCTGGGTGTTTAAAACCTGACAATCCTGTTAATTTCGGGGTTTCTGATAGTTCACTCTGACTATTGACGAATAGTTGAGTTTCTTCTGAAATACTTCCCTCTATGTTATTATGAGAGTTTTGTCGCCGTCATAATGATTATTTTTAATGGAATGGCTCGTATCACTATTATCATTACCACAACTATAAATAAATATACTATTAGTAGTGGTGGCAGTGGTACTATCATTGCTACATATCCAATTCACGTAATCATGATTCACATCAAATCTCAATGTGATATGATCAACTAAAATTGTTGCGAAATCCTTCAGCTCAACTTCTTCGTCTAGAAAAAGAGAACAAAACAAGTTAAAAAACAAAATAAACCCTGGAACAATTAGTCGATAGGTTTATTAATTATTGAAAATATGACGGAATAGTTGATGTCTGTAAATCAACATGCAATCAGAATCTTTGTAATCCTGGCTCTGCCCATCAGTACCATTTTGCAGATTACAGAATTTTCGTTACTACAGGCTGACATAAAACAATTAATACCAAAGTTAGGGAATGATTGTAAATCAATGCTTTTTGAATGTGGTGCACAATTTCATCTACGAATAAGGAAAATGACGACTTAAAAGTGCACAACCATACACAGAACCCTGACAACCGTTAACTAAACTAATCAAACAGACAGGAGCAAATATTCATTTTAATCATTGAGATTAAAGAAAATTCCATCATAATGTCGCGGGATTGATTATATTTGGGAAACAGAAAAATTATTATTCAATTCATTGATACCATTGACGATATGACTGAGTGGTTAGATTGTAGAATTGTTTCTCGCCTATAATTATGTATCCTTTTCTTTAAGATCACATTTCTATAATACTGTATAAGATCAGAGTTTGGGTTTTACAACTATAGTCTGAACAAACAAACGTATCTTTAATATATTGTACGTTCATAGCGTGTAAATTTGCTATGTTTGAAGCGGTTACAAGTTCACTTAGACTGCGAACAGAACAAAGACTTGCAACCAAGGACCAATAAACTAGCTATTCTATTGCGTCCCAGCCCCGCTAACTAGAGAGAGAAGTCAAAGTTCGAACGGGGAAGTATATTCCGCAAAAAGCCAGAAGCAGGGGCGATCACAACAGACACAAATCAAAACATATATATACAGAACAAAACGGTCCTTGGGAAGCGTTACAAAATAGCATACTAAGAGATACAACGGATCAATAGCGTTCAAGATTCTCCCAAGTGGGAAATACGACATGAAGGTGAAAAGAGCGCTTTTGGCGCGAAAACAAACAAATTCAAATTTTCAAAATAAAAGTACAAAATTAAGACTTTTTACAAGTGAGTTCTGTAGATCTAACGTCCGCAATAAAAATTAATGTCAGTATAAGAATAGGAAAAAATATAATCAGCTACGGAGTTGTATTAGATCCCGTCTGATCGCATCGTTATGACTGCAAGGCGATTTCATGATATTTGGGAGTCTGATTATCGATTAGTTCATCTATGTTGCCAATAGAAATAGTGACCCATTCTTGCATTAATACATCGACCAACGGACAACAATCAAAACGTTTACACTTATTGATTATTTTTGCTGAACTTGCAGTGATGGTGAATATTCTGTCAAACACCTTTAACAGAATACATTAACAAGAATATTCTTTAGAGTATTTATTTCTGATTCTACTCTCGGTTGTAACACCATCACACTCCTAACAGGGGTGAACTATTCTGAAAAAGGCTAAGCCTATGATTGACTTTTTGAGTCGAGGGTGCTAATAGGAAATTACTTAATATTATTTGCACTTCTACGAGGTAAGTATGGGAAGATTCATCACGTAACGTTTGTTCCTTAGAGATTACTGACAGCAACGGCGGTATAAATCGATCAATTCATTCTCACACCTCACAGTAGCTAGACAATGGATGGTTGACGTAAGATTGCATCTGTTTCCAGGTTAACTCGATTCCCGCTGATCTCATTGCTACATGAACCGCCGTAATCCGGAGACTGTTATTACGGAGTTCAAACTTATTATTACTAGATATCTCTGCCCGCATCCTTATTCTCTCAATAAAACGTAACAATGCCATATCGAACGAGTCGGTGTTTTAAGTATGCATCACCTCCAAATGTACTGCCAGGATTTCCACGCACAAACACACAAGTACTATGAACTGTATATTTCAAGCTCAATCAGCTGTGTAGGATGTGTGATATTGAGCTTCCTCACATAAACTCTACTGACACAAACAGATGCAAACATAAACAATTTTTAAATATGGAACGTAAAACTATTATTTGTTATTTAATGGCTAAATTATGTGTATATTGTATCAGAATGTAAATTAGTATTTATCTCTAATTTGTAAAGATACTATATATCACAATGGAATGTTATGTAAATAAGAAAGTAGTTTCATGCAAAACAAATTACAAGTATGAAACCTACGGAAAAAACACTCTTACGCTGAAAATGAGTGTTACTAATTGCTCTAAACAAGTAGAAGAAAAAAGATTCAATTCTGGAACTAAAAGAAATCAGTACTTATTTGCACGATTATGAGTAACGGCTAATTGCGTATGAATGTTAATAGTGATATAGCGCATGAACGGATAAACACCATACGATAGGATCAATGCCAAGGTAGGATTTGATAGTTTTAAAGAAATTGACCATTGGGCAGAAGATTAACAATAAATCTACTTTTGTGATATCCCAATGAGTAGAAAATCGTATTTCTGACGTTTCGTAACTTAATGTAAGTCACTACTTCAAAGTAAATAAACGACCGAAATAAAACTAACACGACTTTATGTAGTGCAGTCAATCAGTAACCACGTAGAACTTCGTACGTACATACATCAGTTCGAGTTGCCACACCACATTAGCACAGAGATGCAGTGGTCGATTCAAATCTTATAGTGGTAGAGGTAATAAGAGTATTAGTGTTTGGAGATGTTACTTAAAGAGTATAATACAGTGAAATAAATTTGGAAAGAGAAAAAAGAAACAAGGAGAAATAGGGAGATCAAAATTTGGACACGTTGAAGTCAATGTTTCTTTGATGCCTTTCCGGTTGTCCTCCAGAGATGCAGTGGTCGATTCAAATCCCATAGTGCTAGATGTAGTAAAATTGTAAGCTGTAATCAGAAAAATTAGGGTTTGAAGACGTTATTCAAGGTGTATAATCCAGTGAAATAAATTTGGAAAGAGAAAAAAGAAAGGGACATGAAGAATTCAGAAGATTAGAATTTGGGAGAACACAAAGAGTGGATACACCTGCGCCACTGCAAACGATTTTGAGCCATGTCATTCAAAGTCTCTAATCATCGGTTGCTATCATCTCGCGGTCCCCAACCAGCTAGTCTACACCTACCAATATGACTCAGTCTACTTGTCAGTGACTTCATGGACTTGTGCCATGTTTTGGTCTGGCCGCCCCTAGCTTTCTTCCAACCAACTCTAACACCATAAAACATCTCACGTCGGGGCAGTCGGTGGTTGGGCATACGTAACACGTGTCCCAGCTATCTCAACTGATGAAGTTCCATTACTTCATCAATTGATTTGCCATCCTTACCTAGTACCCGGTTCCTAACAACTGCATTACTTACTCGATGGTCCCAGGATATACGAGCAATATTTCGAAGGCACCTATGATCAAATACTGGTAACCTACGAATATCCTCTACTCTTACCGGCCATGTTTCACTGCCATAAAGTAGGACGGAACGAACTGCTGCGCAGTAAACACGTTCTTTGGTTGATAGACGGATATCTCGCCTACGCCATAAATGACGTAAGTTGGCAAAAGCTAGTCGAGCCTTCTGTATCCGTGCTGAGATTTCGTCACACACCAGAACACAAGGGCTGATGAGACTTCCAAGATAAGTGAAGCGGTCGACAGGCTCAACTACTTCACTCTCTATCATTAGTTCGGATGTCAATGCAACCTAATCCTGAAGCAACGTTTTGCATTTCGAGGGGGAGAATCGCATCCCAAACATGCTTGCATTGTTGCTTAGAGTGGTCAGATTACTCTGCATTTTGTCAGCGTCTTCACCAAATAAAACTATGTCATCAGCATATTTTAAGTCAACAAGTGAACCTCCCGGTAGAAGTTCAACCACTGGAAATCTAGACGAGGAAAGTGTTACCTCTAAAAGTACGTCGACGACAAAGTCGAACAAGAATGGAGAGAGTGGACAGCCCTGACGAACACCACTTGAGGTGATCAATTCTGATGACAGTTCGCCATAAGCTCTCACTCTACCAGTTGTGTTCGAGTAGAGAGCCTTTATAAGGTTAATGTACTTCATTGGTACTCCTTTCAGTGACAAACACTGCCATAAAACCTTACAATCAACAGAGTCAAATGTTGCCTTAAGATCAAGAAATACTACCATTGTGGGGCGTCTGAATGTGTGCCTATGTTTTAGAACGTGACGTGGTGTGAATATCTGATCTATACAACCACGTCCAGGTCGAAAACCAGCCTGGTTTTCTCTAGTCTGTTCTTCACGAGCTTTGGCTAGGCGTCGAAGAATTATTGAAGCTAATGTTTTAGACACTATATTAGTCAAACTGATTCCTCTGTGATTGTCACAAGAGGACTTTTGTCCTTTCTTATTGACTGGCACAATCAATGATTGAGACCAGTCAGATGGGATTACGTCCTGTTCCCAAATTCTACCTAAGACCTCAGTCAATCTCGCTGCTAATACTGAACCACCATCCTTAAAAATCTCAGGAGTAAACCTGTCAGGGCCCGCTGCTCTCCTGCGCTTCAGATTTCTTATAAATTTCTCAGCTTAGTAAAGGGTTGGAGGACTTACATCAACTTGCCATTCAAGTTGACTGGAGAGTGTGGGAAACAGAAGTGTGGCTGAAGGCCAGTTGAACTGATCCCTGAAGTGGTCTGCCCATCGATCTAATCTCCTGGATTGAGAATGTATAATATGTCCATCTTTCTCTGAGATTGTCTCGCTAACAGTCGGTTTCCTAATACCGGTTTCCTTAACAAGTCTGAACAATTGTCTGCTATTACCTATTGCCGCTGTATTTTCCATCTGTCGTGCTTTCGCTACCCACCACTGTTCACGATCATTGCGTATACTTCTTGTCAGCTTGCGCTTAAGCTGATTTCGCTCTTCATTATGTTCAGAGCCAGGTGGAATGAGTTTCCGAGCATCTATCAGTGCGATAGACGCTGTTGAGATCCAGTGTTTCTCCCTAACCTTACGGGTTACCGTACTAGCAGACAACATTGCTGTTTCCACAGCTTTTCGGATATCATTCCATGCTGCATCGGGGTGGGCATCACATACATGTCTGCCTAACTGTTGTCCTAGTTGTTCCTGAAATACACTCTTAGCTTGACTATCATTAAGTAGGGCCCTAAGAGGTTTAATTGAAGCGTCATTCCTACGTCCAGTAAGACGCAGACAGATACGCGCTCGTACTAGAGCATGATCTGAATCTAAGCATGTGCTCCAGAATGAGCGACAGTCTTCTATCGAGCCTCTCCAGAGGTGGCTGATAGCGATGTTATCTATTTGGGTCCAACGTTGGGACGAATCAGGGGGTCGCCATGTTAAAAGATGTTTTTCCTTATGCCTGAAGTTAGTATTTGCAAGAAAGAGGCGGTTATCTGAGCATAGCTGCAACAGACGGTCGCCATTATCTGTTCTTTGACCCACAACACTATAAGATCCACCCAGGTGTCTTTCCCTATCGCTTAGTTTACCTACTTTAGCATTAAAGTCACCATCCACTATTACCACATCCGAGCGCCTAGCTTTTAGGAGGAGGTCGGAAAGCTTTATGTAAAACTCATCTTTTACATCATCTGTGCTACAGTCAGTGGGAGAATAGGCAGAGACGAGTGTCCCTATCTTTTCGGATCCTTACTGTTCCGTTCAGTCGGACAGCGCACAAACGACTGTCTACTGGGATCCATCTAAGAGAGCTAGTTCTGCCCTAGGACTCAATACTACACCTACGCCGGCGAAGACACGGGAAGCAGAATCCGGGCTTCCGGATACACAAAGCGTGGATCGAGTCGGTTCTTTATTTTGGCATGGTGAGGTCAGATGAATGACGCTACTCGGATCCTGTATGCGCGTTTCGGAGACGCAGCACACATCGATGGCGCGGGATTCTAAAGTCCTAGCTAAAGAAGCCTGCTGTCCTATTTGGCACAGTGTTCGGACGTTAAAAGCTCCTACGTGTAGTTTAGAGCGTGGTTTCAGGAGACCAGGAATAACGTTCAGTGTACTCGAATCGTTTGCCCTAGCAGTGCGAGGAGGGTTAGTCATGGAGATAAGAGAGGTATTAGGAGGTGTAGGAAGGATTTGAATGTGACCAACTTGGTCTCGTGTGCTGTTACGGGTATGAGGGCTGATATCACTTCCCGACTGCCTACACTGTGGAAGGGTATTTCTTGAGGAACCTGAAAAGGAAATTGGATTAGTGTTGGTCTTGACGACCTGGGAGCGTGACCGCACAGCCCGAGGGACAACTGCTTGAGGCCGGTCGCGCACGGCCTTTTTGTGGAAGGTTTTTGACGTGTTAGCTCCATTCTCCAAAGGGCCGCCAGAGACGGAAATCCGTGAGGCAAGGTGGGGTGTGACATTTTTAGGGTCGACCTTTTCTAACTCCACCCCTCCTTGTGGGAAGGCAGCATCGCTGCAGATGCTGGTTGTCCGAGGAAAACACCTTACTGCTGTCACACCTCTCTACAGTCAGCAGTACGACTTCGCCCTCAGACCTTGAGTTGCTGCTTTTAGTCTTACCGTTCACCAATCGACCTGCCTGGCATGGTAGAACCTACAGGAACATATATTCCAGCCAATATAGCTCGGTTGGGTCATCACGATAGGCAAGCCCGACCACCGCGTCAAGGTAGCAGCTTCGGTCGGGTTATGTAGTGCAATATGATATATTACCATACAAACATTTTGGTCATTTATTTACTTTGAGAAAGTGACTTACATTAAGCTACGAAACATCAGGAACACAATCTCCTACTTATTTGGATATCAAAAACATCAATCTAATATTCAGAAGATGGAGTGTGAAGTGTTAGTAAGGAGGTAATAAAAGTCAGATAACTCAATTAAGAAATCGTTGTAAGTAGAAAAGGTGAGTTTATAAGGATCAAATATCTGGGTTAAAACCAGAGGTTTATAAGTTCAAACCCGAACAATACTAATTTCTGTTTGGGTAGAAAGGTAGTATGACGTCACAAGGCTTCTCATATAAGACAAAGATGAGTAAATAAACATATTTAAATCGATTGATATCTGAGTGCAAGTAACCAGTGTTATGTTCATCTAAAGATATGGGTCCGAATCTCATAGATTAATATCAGTTTCCGTGAAGATTGCAGCAAGTGCTCTTTGTTAAAAAGCCCGACAATGAGCACAAAAATGTCTCAGAGTTTCCTGTCGAATACATCCAACTACATAAAGCACAGATCCATAAAACTGATAGAATGTGGCTACTAATGAAATTGTGAACTCGCATTTCGTCCTACTTGAGACTCGTCACCTAGATGTGCCCGTATCCAAGAGTCGTTGTTCACTTTAGGAGTCAAACTAAATACCTTCCGCTTCAAATGTCTAAAGCGTTATCAACCAGGTTACTGAGACCACATAAACAGATGGAATGGCCGTCCCAGATTCCGCATAAACACAGAAATAAGCACGGACTAACAATATTGATATCACGAACCGACTTAATTTACGCATCCACTGAAACCAGGAAGCACTGCATAGCTATTTCGCTCAGGTAGTAGTCCGCATCCATGAACCCGTATCCGGTGGTCGAACCATGAACCCCAGTTCTTGCGTGCTAACACAAAACCTCTAGACGAATCACCCGGCATCCAACGGTGATCAACATAAGAAATGTTCATGACATAAGTTGTTAAGATCCTACAATCTCCTCAAATCCAGAATACAGAAAATGGGGATCGTAATGTTGTTGTGAAGTGAACAAAGAATTAGTCGGGATAACCAATTTATTGTTTAACGTGAAATCACACAATGGCAAAGTAAAATATGAAAAGCATACATTAAACACATTATTTGCGCATCTTCCTTTAGTTGTCCATGAGTTGTATATATCCTAACCCCAAGTATTCACTACCCCGTCAGTCGACCTGACATACCGAGTACTGTGAGTCTAAGCTTAGAATCGCTAACTCTATAGTCCTAAATTATATGAGTATTACTTTGAAAACACCTATGATTGGGTACTAGTATCCTACAAATATCCTCTATTCTTAATCACCATGTTTCACACTCATAAAGTAGGACTAAGCAAAATGCTGAGTAATGAAGTCGCCCATCATTTGAGAAGTGGATAATCTCGCCTATGCCACAGGTGACCGAAGTTGAAAAAAGTCAACGGATTTTCTGAATTCGTGCCAAGATTTTGTCAAACATCAGATTATCAGGACTCAAGTTAAGTTAAGTATTCGATACTTTCAACTACTTCCCTTCCTATCATTAATTCGCGTGCTGACAGTGAAGTAACACTTTGTGTTTAGAGGGAGAGAATCGCATCCCAAACAAGTCCGCATTGTTTCTCAATGTGATCAGACGACTTTTATCTTGTCAGAGCCTTCACCGACGTTTTAAATTGCCTATTAATTCTAATTCTTCGACTTGAGTGATTGTTTTCTCCTATTTTCACTTTCCTTGAGAAACAAGTATGATTACTGGGTAGGTTACAGATAGTTTACGTGACGAGAGAACATTGATACAAAGTTGTGATTGATGAGTCACTCAGATGAAGAGAAAAGAACCGTACATGAACTATCATCACTATCAATATGAAGTTAGTTTTATGGTGTAGTACACTTGACAATCACTTTTACTTTTATAAATGTGACAATGAATTACATTTCACCTAGAAAATAAACGGAAAAGATGGCTCGTTACGTACAAATGTGAACTAAAAATGCTCCCCTCTCTTTATATAGTGAATACATTTATTGAGTTTCACACTAATTTGTTAACGTTTGTTTTCCCAAGTCTCTGACCTATTTCCTATGTTGAAACACTAACTCAAGTATTAGTTCTAACACTACCTTACGATCCGTATTTGTATTTCTTAATGACTACGTTTGGTTACGCAACGTGCGTCGTAACTACCATCTATCCGTAAACTGCCGTGATCAATTCAATGCTTCTTCATTTATGCCCATAAAAATATTTTTTATATATGGTGTATGGCTAGTGGAAGTAAGATATGATTGGTCACTGAGCGCAGGCAAACAGATACTCGGCTTACACTTGGTGATTTTCCTTCCTATTAATGATTTCTGTTCTGAACTCAATAAGTGTAGACCGCTTTGTAATTGTGTTGAATAAAGTATTGTCTAATCTATGCTCTGGTTCTCTTATTTTGGTTGTGAATCATGTATCTGGTAAAACGTGGTTCAATCTGTTTTGTATCATATCGATCTAGTATCCAGTATAGTATTAGCAAAAGCTTGATCGCTAGTCGTACTATCGTTTATATCGTGAAAACAAAATATTTATTTTTTTATTTTTATATCGGTATATATGAGAGTAAAACCTGACGAAGAACTCATTTGAAAACAATATTGCCCTCCTATTCATGTTCTAATTTACACGATGACAATTTTTAACGTCAGAATCACAATCTGTCTATACACACGCATAATAAATTCATAAATACAGAAAGTGAAAAGAAAAACATTATTACCGTCAAGTACTCACCTGTCAGTATCGGGTTACCATCAACATACACAGTATGAGATGAAAAATTAGTTAACCAAAATATACCATCTTTACTTAAGCGTATTTGACCATGACAACGTGATATACGTCCACTGTCAATACCTTCCATTGATAAATCGATATGCGGTTGATAAACGAATGAATTACGACCAAATATGACCTAGAAAATATCAGCAAAGAAAGAAGGAAGAGTGTGATAAATTTCTTTTTTAAATGATGAGGAAAATTTGTAGCTCATGTGGAAGTAGTCTTCTCTATATGAGTAAAACTAAAGAAAAATTTTGAGAGTAGCCCTTAAGTAAAGTAAACAGTATAGTCGGAAGCCGAGTATATATATAATTAAACATAAAATATGATACAGATGTTCATTCGCCCGAACTGACATTACCTGAATAGCACCACAAAATAAAAACAGCAAATTAGATCGAAATAATCTAGTAGCAAAAATTAGAAGAAAGACTAAGTCTTAAGAGTGAGGTTCGAAAAGCCTGAATGGAAAAGCATACATGGATAGAAATTGGAATTCAAGACTGAGAGGAAGATAACATATGGATGTATTGTTCTGTCGTGTACTATTGTTCAGTTTTGACTCCCTCAAGTTATTATTAATTAATTACGATTAGTCAGCCCCAACATTAACGATTTGATTTGATTTTATATAACAAACAACAATTCTTAATTCACATATTACAATTTCCAAATGATGTACTCTGTCTTAAATCTGGTCAATTTTATGGATTATTAATTTGGATTTATAATTGTAGAACCTGATGAGAAATTATTGAAAAGAATATTCTTCGTCCATACAACTGTGTTTTTAATATAATTACGAATCGATTACGTATTCTCTTTTCCACGTATAATATAGTTTCGTTCGTACTATAATTTCTTATTTATGCTGATGCGCTGTCAGATAACTAATCTATATAATCACATGAATTCTGAGTCATGAACTGAATTGTGTGGTACTGCAGAGGTTTTTCTACCTGTTGTGTTGTTCTGTTCTGCTCTTTGAGTAGGTGAGTGTGGGAAACTGTTTCCTGGGTTAATCGGTGTTAAGTATGTACTTCAGCCGCTATCTCAATGTCATTGAGTTACTTGTCAGAAAAAGCAAGTAAGTAAGTCTAACATTCAACCTAGGCGAATAAATCAATAATCGAACTATATAATAGCGGCCCTACCACATGAGCATCGATACAACACAAAAATGGGGCTTTCTTGATATCACATCACAGAGTGAGAAAAATACATCAAAAACCTTTTTTTCTTTTATCAAAAATTGTGTTCTCGATCCCGTAAGAGATGCTAATGCTGGATAAATTGGTTGTGGATCCATTATTTTTAGACCATTAGTTACAAACATTTCAACTAGACGTGTCCAACGTCTAGCCTCTTCTTTATTTCGACGTAAATGTGCCCACAAACGTCCGCGACGTCGATGTAATTCTAATCGACGCTAGAACAGAACAAAAATTATTATCCAATGAATTATCAATTTCATCTTGGCTGGAATTATGAATATACATCGAAATATGAAGACAAAATCTATTCACAAATGATTGATCACTGGGTGGTGGTTGCAGGTCAGAGACGTTACCACTGGGCTATCCAGGCCGCGAGTGACCTCCTGTAGGGCTGAGATGTATCCACAATAAATTGATCACTCAGTGGTGATCAATGTCATATGTGTCAAGTCCTTTTTAGTGTATATCGAATACTATCGACCAAGTCGCAATGTAGCCACTAGTCTAGGTGACTCGACATCTGTCATGGAGAACCAGTTCCCTCAAGACTACAGGCACACTTTGCTGATGAGTGCCAAATAGCACAAAATCTGGGTCCAGGGTCTCCTGTTGACTACATCCAACCACCACCTTATCTCAGACAAAATCTATTTATAGGACAGGTATTAGTAACCTGCTTATGCAAATGGAAGATGGTCGTACAATATTGTGAATCGATTAAAGGAAGGGATATAAAATACTGGATCCTGACTCAGTGGTTTAAAGGTTAAGCGCTTGTTATATTTTAATCAGCATAGAAATAAAGCATAGTAAATTACTAAAATGTTTGTCAAATCATTTCTCATAGATAGCAATCAATTATACTCGAGAGTTCGATTAAGTCACGTTTCTATCGTTCGACAAACCTCTAGCGCTGAGGAAGAAGACTATGATTGAATGAGAAGCTTTATTATTAAAAGCTTAATAATAATTTCTACAACTCCAAAGACGGTTTTCTCTTGAAATATTAGAGGTCAGCTTAAACATATAGAGACAATTTTGAATCTATCTTTAATTTTGTCTAGAACACTGGCGTGTTGCCCACTGTTACACATTACTAAGAGGACTACCTCCACACGTAAGACCAAGCACTCTTGGGTTCCCATGTTTATTATGTAATGAAAACTACCCCTTAGACCAATGCGGAAGGTTTAGAGATAAGGATATTAATGAAAAGATAGAATTTGTACTAAAGAAGTTGTGTCTGTTTGAAGGCAAACCACATAGCAAGAAACTGTCGAGCACCGAGGTCATGTGCCGTCGAAGGATGTGGCTGGAGACACCATACCTTGTTACACAGGAAGCCGGAAGAGCAGAGAAATAGTAATAGTATTGTCCACATCAATACCGAACTCTGTACTGAGGAAAGTGTTAAACGTGTACAAAGACAAGTAGCAGAAAAGAAAATTGTTGACGTTAAACCCATGGTTGCTAAACCGAAAACTATAATGCCTTCTGCTGTTAAACCCAAATCAACTCCAAAAAGCCTAATGAAAAGGTCACTGAACCGAAAGTCAAGACACCGAAGAAGCCAGTAACTAAGACCCTGAAGAAGCAGCAGCACATATTCACCGTGATATCGTACATGATGTTGAGAAAGGCGCCTTTGTACGAGTTGATAATAAGAGTAAGGGTGCATCTGGTAGCTTTAAACGAGCTAATGCTAGTCTTAGGTTACGTGTAGTTGGGACCAAAATAAGATTGCAAAAGCCCTTTCAGAAAGAGGTTGTGGATGGCATTTTAACATTCCTAGAGCTAGTCATTGAGGCAGTGTATATGAATGCATAATAAAGTCGATAAGAAGGATTCAACGATCGCTACTGTTTCAGAAGGTATTGACGGACGAGACTTTGGAGACGTTTTTAATAGAGGCTGAAGGAATACTGAGCAATCAACCACTCGTAAAGCTAGTTAATGACCGTGATAACCTGGATATACCCGCATCAAATAAGTTATTGTTAGTTCATAGAGGTGTATCATTCGATGAAGCGCAGATGAGTAAAACGTGCTTACATAACAGATGGAAGGAAGCACAACAACTAGCCAACCTATTCTTGAACGGATGGTTACAAGAGTACCTACCAACCCTTAAAGCGACATGAGAAGAAATCTACAACCTGGAGATTTAGTGTCAATAAACAATACTGGCTCGCAGAGAAATCTGTGGCTGAAAGCTATAGTTAGACAGGTCCAGATGGACGAGTCAGAACAGTTTGGCTGAAGACAGCAAGTGAAGAGATCAGCAGTGATATACGGAACCTGCGCCTATTGGAATAGGCCGATTATTTGAGCGCGGCAGTAGCGAAGTCAAGTCATTGTTTAAGCGCCCACCACGTCAATCCGGTCGGATGTGTCTGTCGACTGTCCCTGTTGCATTTGACCTGCAAATTGAAGGATATTATTATAGTATTATATTGGTGTGACTCATAATTTTTTACTCATTTCGATAAAACACGCAGTACTGGTCGGTATGGTTGTGCGTTCCACTTGATGACTAAAATTCCTTTAATTACTGTACTAATCTAGTTGTTTTATGTTTAGAAATAAAGTTGAAAGTCAAGTTGTCCTTGTTCTGACTACAGCTTTCACATAGACTCTGGGATCGCCAGTATCGCGTTTACAGTTCTAGTCGTATATCTGTAGGACAAATTATATCCTACAACAGATACTCCTCGGATGATTAGATACCATGTCACCCAGCTTTACAGTCAAAACAGACGTTATCACTGAATTATTTGGGCTGAGACTGACGTTCTGTAGGATTGAGAAGTGGTTAGAATTATTTAATCACTGAGCAGTGACCGATATCGTGTATACTAAGTCCAAAGAACGAAATGACAAAAGAAAAATCGAATATCATCTACAATATAAATTGTCCCAACTGCGAGGAACACTACATTGGACAAAGTAAATGGCCACTTCACCTTTGCCTGCACGAACACCGATTAGTGGTCAAATGCCATGAAGTATTCTCGCTTATATCAATCAACTGTGGATACACATCCGACCAAAAAAATCCTGAGATCTTGGATATAGGAAATTCTAAAAACACCAGAGAATTTTCCAAAGCTTGGCACTCAGGTCAATCAGCAATTAATAAACAAATTAAAATCGATACAATCTATCAACCAATCAGAAGAACCGTGGACAATTATAGGACCGAGGATCAAATCAACAGAAAATATAATCCAAACAAAGAAGTACACAATGACAGGTTAAAAGTCAACAATAGCCAATCAAGATCGAAGTCTACAGGACAAACTGCGTCGTATGTTGAGAAGTTCGAACACTTCACTTCTGTCTGAAGTTTGTGCTGATGATGTTGTTCAGAAGAACGATGAAAGCTCCACGACCAAACCAAAAAGCTCAGAGAACAAAACTCCATCAAAAGTCCGTCTTAGTGTTGATCTAACTCTATTGACTAGCCAGTACTGCTCATAGTCCAGATTGTTTGATGGCGACGTCTCTTCTGACTGTCATATGACCCAATACTCTGACAAGCATAAGTTCCCTAAAGGTTGCAGACACACCTTATCGACGAGTGTTAAGAAGTACGAAACCTAGGTCGAGCAGGATTTTTGTCGACTACCTCCAAACACCATCTGAAGTTTCAATATAGTGCATGGGACATCAAGTAGCCGAAAATAGTGTCCAGAATGTAGCTTGATCGATAGAATCCAATCAGTACTAAGATTTGACATACAAGACAATGGCAACTACTACTCAATGATTAATTAATTGTAAAGATGATGCCTCTACTAACTGTTTGATAGTTTTCATACATATTCAGTGGGAATTCAGTGTTAATGTTATGTTTTTTTTATCAGAGGCAGACAATCTCCTCGTGTGAACAATGGTGATGAGGACTACTGAAAGCTGCTGTGAATCCTTAGCTCAGAGAAATCACTGTTGATAACCTCAAACTTTTAATTCTCTACATTATGTCGTCCTTCAATTACCAATAAACAATCTCTTGAAATATATATACAACAACGATGTGCAACAATACAATAACAGTACTAAACAGTACGTGTAACAAAACTGATGTGGGAGAGAATCATAATGATTGGTTTACTTAATCAGACCTGTCGATGGTCTGATAGGCGTTAGATGAGTTATATATTCTCCTACCCATATCATTACTGTGATTGTTGTCGGTTTTTGGTGCAGAAATGTACTTACGTTCTAGTCAGATTAGTCACGTGTTAGTATTCTGAGTTGTGTTGAATTCCTGTAGAATAGACACTGGGAGGGTATCTAGTATAGATATCTGTTTAATGCAAATTAGCGTCCTATACGCGTAGACGAGGAAAACCGAATGTTATAACAAAAACCTTTAAAAAAATATATTCATATGTTACTATCATGTGACTTTGTGGTGAGACTATTATTTATAGACAACTGTTGAGCGAATCGAAAGTGACCTTGAAAACATCCACCAATTTACTAGAGCTAAATGAGGATTAGAAACTTGTGTGAAGGACAACTATTATGATTTACAGTTGATAGTTATGGTTAGGAATTAGATTTAGGGTTTTCATCACGAACCAACATCAGCTAAAATGGCAAAACGCTATCTAACCAAATGGATGAATGAACTTAGCAACAAAATCTAAGACGCGTTATACTAAATATGATTTGTTCATTCACAAATTATCTCGATCGTTGCTGCTACCTTGATGTGGTGGTCAGACTTGCCTATCGTGATGAAGCAACCGAGCTATGCTGACTGGAACAATCGTTTTTCAAGTTTCTACCATGTCAGAAAGGTCGGTTGAAGAACAACAAGACTGAAAGCGGTAAACCCAAGGTCCGAAGGCAAAGTCCTACTGCTGACTGTACAGAGGTGTGACGGCAGTAAGGTGTTTTCTTCAGACAACCAGCATCTGCAGCGATGCTGCCTTCCCACAAGGAAGAGTGGGGTTTGAAAAGGTCGACCTTAAAAATGCACACCTCACCTTATCCACGGATATCCGTCTCCGACGGTAAGGTCTCAACAAGTACGGAGCTAACACAAAAATTACCCATAAAAATGTCGTGTATGCCCGACCTCAAGCACACACCGGTTGAACGTCATTGGTTGGCCTAGTGTGAATATTCGTATAAGTCGTATTCGGATTGGTAGATAATTCGCGTGATAGAAAAACCAGACGTCAAGATCATAACAGACTTCTTCCTCAAGTGTCACCATAACCAACGATTCTAGTGCGCAAAACATTCCCAGGTCTATTGAAACCACGCTCCAAACTACACATTTCAACCTTCAACTCACACACACTATGTCAAATCGGTCAGCGGCCCTCCTTGGCTAGAACCCTAGAATCTCGTACCATTGATTTATGCTGTGTCTCCGAAGCACGCATACAGGATCCCAGTGTGGTCATTCACTTGACCTCACCTCGGCAAAAGGGAGAGCCGACGAGTTAAACCCTCCGTGTATCTGGAGACCCGATGACCAGTTCTTGTGGACTGGCAGGTGTAGGCATAGCACTAAGCATGGGGGCGGAACAAGCGCTGTTAGAGTGGGGCCCCGTTAACAGTCGTTTATATGCTGTTCGGCTAAATGGATCGATGGAAGATTTTCGCTCATTTTGAAATACCTGCTTAGACTCCGACTATGCTCTAATACGAGCACGCATCTCCTTGCGCCTCACTGGACGCAAAAAAGCAACACTAAAATGAGCCATTAGAAGTGAATTGAGTAGCGAGAAAACCAAATGTAGATTCCAGGAACAACTGAGGTCACACTTAGGTAGTTCTGAAAACGAGGCTGACCCAGATGTTGATTGGAAAGATATACAAACAGCTGTGGAAAAACCAGTGACATCTATTAGTACTTAAACCACAGGGTTAAAAGAACCAATGGATTTCTTCAAGGTCCATTGTACTGATAGATTCTCGTAAACTCGTCCCGTCAGGCTCTGAACACGATGAAGAGCGAAAGCAAATCAGATCAAGGTTGACCAACAGTCTAAAGAACGACCGTGAGAAGTGGTCAGCAACAAAAGCAAAAAAGATGGAAAAGGTAGTGGCTGTAGGTAACATCAGAGAGCTTTTTAGACTAACAAAAAAAACTGGAACTAAAAATTCAAGTGTAAGTGAGACTATCTCGGAAAAAGACGACATTCCTATCTACTCCCAGTCCAGACGTTTAGAACGATGGGCGGAACATTTTAGAGAACAGTTGCGCTGGCTTTCAGCTACTATACAACTACCCTCCATTTCCAGACAGTGTGAATGGAACATTGAAGTAGGTCCCCCAACTCTTGCTGAAGTTCAAAAGGCTATAGTTAATCTGAAACGAGGAAGGGCAGCTGGTCCAGATGGATTGGCTTCAGAGGTCTTTAAGGATGGTGGTCCAATTTTAGCGATTAGGTTGACTAATATTTTAGCTAAAATCCCATCTGACTGGTCACAATCACTTATCATCCCAATATATAAGAGAGGGTCATAATCATCCTGTGACAACCATAAAGGGATTAGTTTGACTAACATAGCATCTAAATTACTAGAATCAATAATTATCGGACGCGTAACAAAGACTCGTGAACTGCAAACACGAGAGAATCAAGCTGGCTTCAGACCTGGTCGTGGCTGCATCGACCACATATTCACCATTCGTCAGGTTCAAGAACACAGGCATACTCATAGGCGTTTGACAATGGTGGTCTTTCTTGACTTAAAAGCAGCATTTGACTCGGTAGACCGCGAGATTCTGTAGCAGTCTGTCATTGAAAGGCGTACTTCAGAAGTACATAAAACTTGTGAAGGCTTTTTACTCGAACACTACCAGTCGAGTCAGAGCTTATGGCGAACTGTCATCTGCTTTTGCAACCTCAAGTGGTTTCCGTCAAGGCTGTCCACTTTCTCCATTTCTGTTTAACTTCATCATAGACCTACTAATGGAAATAATGCTCTCGTCGACTGAATTCTCGGGTATTGATATCCTTCCAGGAGGTCCAATTATCGACTTAGTATATACAGATAACATAGTCCTGTTCGGTGAAGACGCTGATAAAATGAAAAGTCGTCTGGTAGGACTGAGGAACAATGCCAGAATATTTGGGATGCGCTTTTCTCCCTCTAAATGCAAGTTGTTGCTTCAGGACTGGCCTGCGTCAACACCTGAACTAAAGCAAGGGAATGAAGTAGTCGAATACGTTGACAACTTCACTTGTCTTGGAAGTCTGATCAGCCCTAGTAGGTTCGAGTCTGACGAAACCTCTGTACGGATTCAGAAAGCTCGTTTGGCTTTTGCCAACTTACATCACCTATGGCGAAGGCGAGATATCCGTCTATCAACTAAAGGACGAGTATACTGCGCGGCAGTTCGTCCTGTTTTAATTTACGGCAGCGAAACATGACCATTAAGGATAGAACACACCCGTAAGCTACTAGTATTTGATCACGGATGCCTTAGAAATATTGCTTGCATCTGCGGGGATCACTGGGTAAGTAATAGTGAGGTTAGACGTAGGGTATTAGGGAATGATGGTAAACCAGTTGATGAAGTTGTGGATTTTCGTCGACTGAGATGTTTGGGCCACGTGTTACGTATGCCTGAACACCGATTAACACGACGTGCAATGCTAACGGGTGTTAGAGATGGTTGGAAGAGAATTAGGGGCGGTCAAACCAAAACGTGGCATCAGTGATTGAAGTCACCAACTTTTAGTCTTAACCATGTTGGTAGATGCAGAATACTTGGTTGGGGTCCGCGTGACTATCGTAACCAATGGTTGGAAACTCTTGGTGACATGGCTCAAAACCGATCACAATTGCGTCTCTAGTTAAAGCGTGAGATTAAAATTAATTTATACATTTCTGCGAACTAATTCTTTCTTACTGTATTATATCCTTATACACAATCTTTCTTTTATATATTACTACCATTGAAGTAACTACCTCTATGAATTTCGTGTCCGTCTTATTGTGCTAATGGACATCTAAGATGCAGTTGGATGATCTAGACTTCGCAGATGATCTGACCCTTCTATCCCAAACGCAACAACAGATGCAGGAGAAGACGAACAGTGTGGCAGCAGCCTCAGATGCAGTAGGTCTCAATATACACAGAGGGAAAAGCAGGATTCTCCGATACAACACAGAATGCACCAATCCAATCACAATTGACCGAGATTTGGAAGATGTAAAAACCTTTACTCATCTGGGCAGCATCATTGATGAACATGGTGGATCTGATGCAGATGTGAAGGTACGTTCGGCAAAGCAAGAGCAGCATATTTACAACTGAAGAACATCTGGAACTCAAAACAATTGCCAACCAACACCAAGGTCAGAATTTTCAATATAAATGTCAAGACAGTTCTACTGTATGGGGCAGAAACCTGGAGAACTACGAAAGCCATCATCCAGAAAACACAGGTGTTTATTAACAATTGTCTACGCAAAATACTTCAGATCTGTTGGCCGGACACTATTAGCAACAACGTACTGTGGGAGAGAACAAACCAGATCCCAGCGGAGGAAGAAATCAGGAAGAAGCGCTGGGAGTGGATAGGACACACATTGAGGAAAGCACCCAACTGCGTCACAAGACAAGCCCTCACTTGGAATCCTCAAGGCCAAAGGAAAAGAGGAAGACCAAAGAACACATTACGCCGAGAAATGGAGATAAACATGAGAAAAATGAACAAGAATTGGATGGAACTAGAAAAGAAGGCCCAGGACAGAGTGGTTTGGAGAATGCTGGTCAGCGGCCTATGCTCCATTGGGAGCAACAGGCGTAAGTAAGTAAGTAAGTAAGTAAGTTGTTGTGCTAATGAGGTGTAGCAACTTGGACTGATCCATATATGTGCCTGGTTCTACGCTGTAGCTGATTGACTGACTGATCATAAATTATAGTCACGCCTCTTGTTTTTTTAATAACTAACACAAGTTGGTCAATTACTTTTGTTTATGAAGTCTATTGTAAAACGTTTAGTTTATCATATGGTTTGTGTACTTTGGTTTAAATTGATAATATTACAAAGGTAACTAGTGTTTGTGAAATCGTAAGTTTCTTGGTTCAATGATAGATTCCTACAGTATCGTGTCAATCTTATTCGACTAAAAAAATCTACCAAAATAAGTAGTAGTATTTTTCTGCGAAAATTAACTCCATACATTTTCACCTATAGAAATACGATTGAATGAACAGACGATTTAAGGATGTTAGCGGGACATAGACTGGGTTAAAGCATGCTCAATGCACGATTGCTTTGGTGCACGCTGATTGGTTAATTCTTATCTAATCAGTACTAGTCGATACTTGGAGAATACTCTAGAATCTTTTCATGTAAAAACTATAAATATACTAACGTTTTCCATATTGTGCTTCTTACTTCCACCTAACCTTGTTATTTGGAATATAATCTCTTTCCTGTTCAACCGTGTTCTGATTTGGGGACTTGTCGAGTGAATCGGTGTACGAGAATACTAAACAATAGGAATAGCTGGGTCATAACCTGTAAGAGAGAAATACAACAAAGGATGATAACAATCGAGGGTTTTTCGTTAACTATTGAACTGGACTAGTAAGTTGAGGTTATTCGCAACTTGGTATCCACAAGGAAGGAAAAGAAATAGAGTAAAAAACACATGGCTGTGATACTTTAAGGTGGACATTAGGACCATGAATGGCACCTAACACTAACTGGGAAAGAGAGCCCAAGATAAAGTTGATTGGAACAAAATTAGTTGACGTTGTCAAAACAATAGGTTAGCTGTAACAGTAATCAAAACTGTGAGCAAATGACTGAAAAATAGCTGACTACGCCTATTATAATAAACCATAGTTTTGAAGAATAGATTTCTACTTCCTCACTTACAGCAACAACACAACTACTCAATAATTAGAGTAGAAAAATACTTACTTTAAAATCAAATTCTTGATTACTTAGTAATGGTGGTACAGGTGATGAACTTATAAAGGACAATAAATGTGATTTATTACTTGTTTCTTGTATTAGTAGTGAGTGACTCTGATCATGGTCGATTGACGATTTCAACTCTAGACCTGTTGCTATTGCTCCACGTGTACTGGACGTTGTTGTTGAAGAAGAAGAAGAAGAAGCGGCAGAAGTCGGAGAAGAGTGGTGCTGTAGACTAGGATGTACAAGTGAATCATTTAATTGACTAGAATATTCTTTAAGGAGTACTTCCAAGACTGTTTGTGTAACAAGACCTTGGAAACCATGATATGATGTTTGATTTAGCATATGTTGTCTACGTGACACTGTCGATGGTTCAGTTAATTTAGGGATTCCTGCAACGACTGCATTGGTTACTGTCTCCTCTAATAATAATTCTGTATCAGAAAAACTTTGTGGATCACCACCTAATGCTATAGAATTAGAATAACCAACATTTTTCAGCAAAGATATACCATCACAATTTTTTATTGCTGTTGTCGTCGCACCTGTTGTTTTGACATCTGGTGAAGTCGATAATGAGGTGTTAAAGTTAGGTATTGACTTCAACTTTAAACCATCTTTTACAACGATGCAATGGCAACTGTAGAAACGACACCACTGACGATATAAATCTAGTTCATCTCGTCCATGGTAGAATACTGTTGGATATTTGCGTAAAATTTCTGTAAATATGGAGGGATTCTAGGATAACGAATGAAAGAAAACACGTGCAGAAATCAGTCACGTATATTCATTAAATTTCTAATTGGAAAACTTTCAACAAAACAGCTGGGGTAATTATTCATTATAATTCAGTTATGTGGAAGAGTCAATCTACTCAGCAAGGTACAAAGGAATATGACTACTTTACACTGTCCAAAGAAGGACAAGATCCCACCTTATGTTACAATCAACCATACCTATCACCGGTTCGTATGGATATATTAAAAAACAATAAGCATCAAAAAATAACCGATAAGATGATTTTAATCCAAACCTCTAAGGAAATCTTATTAAATTAGTGTGGAGGGATCTGTGAAGATTGTAGAATTTTCATAATTTAAATCGCGAACTGATCTAACTAGACCACCATTGAAACCTGAGAAAGAGTGAACTGCCGTTTCACTCTAGTATGGGACCGCCTAACAGTGCGCAGCTGCGACCCTGCATCAGGAAATCATACCCAGGAACTTCCGTATCGCGCGCTAACACGACCTATAGACCACTGAGGTGGCATCTAACAATGTACATATCTAACATCAGGCGCGGGACTGAAGACCCACGGTCCGATCCCCGACGCCGAGTCGTGGATAGGCACTGCTGGAGAGTCCCATACCAGGAGGAAACGGCGGTCCAGTGATCTCAGGTTTCATTAATGGTCTCGTTAGGATCAGTTTGTGATATGACAAAACGTCTTTTCTATAACCATCAACATCAAAAGGTTTAAACCTTGTTTATTTATGTTATTATTAGTAGTAAGGATTTGAATTATCCCGTTGTTTGATATTCAGGAGTGAATTTAAACAGCCTTTGTTGGTATATATGCATCCTGTGCAAATAGCCTCGATATAGCCATTTTGTTACAATGTTTATGGATCAGATGGATTTCGCCTGGTACTGGAATTCATAATACTCCTTTAGTCCTATTTTGAACTCGTTAGTTGGATGGGTCAGCACCGCGGTGTAGGTATTCGCACTGAGACACAAACGCAGTAAGAAGCTCAGTAGGTAATCCGCTGACATTTGAAACGAAAGGTTCGAGTGGTAATGTGAACATCAACACTGAAATCAAGGTACATTCAGATGAGGAGTTTGAAATAAGGTGAAAATTGTGTTCACTATTTCCCTGTTACTCATGATCCACCTATCCCGAACTATTTATATCTAAAAACATATCAGAAACTATTTTCCACATTTTTGAAACCTCTCGTATTTATATAATTTACTCAGATTTATCTCTTTTCTAATAGTATTTTCTAATTTACCGTTCAACAAATCAACCTTATGTTGGAAAAGATATTCAAAGCTATAGAAAATCGCAATACTTACTCACTATCTGATGTTATTTTTATTGAGTGAAATTTTAATTTCCAGATTTTTTCACTTCTAAATTCCCACCATGGGGGCTCCTCGTCATGTAAGTTTTAAATCAAAAGATATTCCCAAACACAGACTGAGTCATCCCATATACATACCATATGCTTATGCCTTTACACAACCTCAGGGTCAGACAGAAGGTGAGAAATTACAAGCAATTAGAGTAAGTCGTTCATGCATTACCGTGGTTTTTGTATGAACTAATGATTCATTTGTACTTGGTGACTGCCTGATTTCGAATTCCAAATACAATATGTTTATTTGCGTTCACTTAGTTCTATTTGGCCTTAATTACGCTATTTCGAGGATTCCTAATTCGTATAATAATTCAAATACTTTTACCCATCACAGTTACTATTTTCGAAAAAGCTTCCCACAAAAAGGCCGTGCGCGACCGGCCTCAAGCATTTGTCCCTTGGGCTCTGTGGTCACGCTCCCAGGTCGTTAACTTACTTACGCCTGTTACCCCCAATGAAGCATAGGCCGCCGACCAGTATCTTCCAACGCACTCTGTCCTGGGCCTTCCTTTCCAGTTCTATACAATTTTTGTTCATTCGTCTCATGTCTGTCTCCATTTCTCGGCGTAATATGTTCTTTGGTCTTCGTCTTCCCCTTTGGCCTTGACGATCACATGTGTGGGCTTGCCTTGTGACGCAGTTGGGTGCTTCCCTCAATGTGTGTCCACCCCATACAGTAGAACTGTCTTGACATTTATATTGAAAATTCTGACCTTGGTGTTGGTTGGCAATTGTTTTGAGTTCCAGATGTTCTTCAGTTGTAAATATGCTGTTCTTGCTTTGCCGAACGTACCTTCACATCTGCATCAGATCCACCATGTTCATCAATGATGCTGCCCAGATGAGTAAAGGTTTTTACATCTACCAAATCTCCACCGTCAAGTGTCATTCGATTATTGCATGCTGTGTTGTATCGGAGTGTTATAACTTGTGGCCTGAGTGTGACCTGTTAATGGATAAGTAATGATACCGCCAATTAGAGAGCAGTGACTCATCGATCGGATCAATGACGCGTAAACCCGTATGAGCAGTCTAAATTCCTGATTGGTCTCGCTTCCTGTTTAGTCCAGTCAGTTAAGTCCAGAACACCAATCCGAGCCTCTGCTGTATAAATAGTTTAGTTATTTAACAATTATACGATAAAAATATACGTTTAGTATTGATTCGTAAATGGATCCTAGAAGTTACCATTCATTATGCTTATTGAGAGATAACACGGAGATATTTGTTTTTTCCTTTGTGTATGTTGAGACCTACTGCTGCTGAGGCTGCTGCCACACTGTTCGTCTTCTCCTGCATCTGTTGTTGCGTTTGGGATAGAAGGGCCAGATCGTCTGCGAAGTCTAGATCATGCAACTGCATCTTAGATGTCCATTGTATCCCGCGCTTCCCTTCAAACGTTGACGTCTTCATGATCCAGTCGATCACCAGGAGAAAGAGAAAGGGTGAGAGTAAGCAACCTTGCTTGACAACGGTCTTTACCTCGAACGAGTCTGTCAACTGTCCTCCATGCACGATTTTGCAGTTTAATCTATCATAGGAATTCCGCATGATATTGACTATCTTCTCAGGTACGCCGTAGTGTCGAAGAGGCTTTCATAGTGATGTCCTGTCCACGCCATCAAATGATTTTTCGTAGTCAATGAAGTTGATGTAGAGTGTTGAATTCCATTCAATTGATTGTTCCACGATGATCCGTAGTATTGCGATTTGGTCTGTACACGACCGATCATTACGGAATCCCGCCTGTTGGTCACGAAGTTGGGTGTCTGTGGAGTCCTTCATTCTGTTTAACAATACTCTGTTGAAGACTTTTCCCGGTATTGAGAGAAGAGTGATGCCCCTGTAATTATCACAGTTGCTGAGATCGCCTTTCTTTGGTGTTTTGACCAGAAGTCCTTTTTAGTCTGTTGGTACTTGTTCCTCATCCCAAATCTTACTGAAGGGAATGTGAAATATCTTTGCAGTTACTGCTACGTCTGCTTTCAGTGCCTCTTTCGGAATGTTGTCTGGTCCTGATGCTTTTTCGCTCTTGATTTGTCTGATAGTCATCCTGACCTCGTCGACTGTTGGTGGGCCAACATCGATTGGGTGGTCCGTGGGTGCTACTTCGATGTTGGGGGGGGGTTCAGTTGGGCAGGTCGATTCAAGAGTTTTTTGGAGTGCTCTACCCACCTGTGTGCTTCCTTCTCTTGCAGCTATTTCTGCCGTCATTTCTAAATCTTCCATATATTTGCGTTTGTCGGTTCTGATGCTCCTCTTCACTTGCTTGTTTACTTCTGTGTATTCAGTTTGTGCCTTGGCTTTCTCTGCTCTTGTTCGACAGGTATTGATTGCTGCCTTGCTGTTCCTCCTTTCTTGAATCTAATCCAGTGTATCAACAGTGGTTCATTCCTTGTGATGGTGCTTCTTGTGGCCCAAAACCTCATGACATGTTGATGTTATTGCCTCGTTTATCACTTCCCAGTTGCTCTCGATAGTGGTTCCCTCTCCACTGAATAGATCATGGAAGGCCTAGAACTTATTGCTGAGGGCTATCTTGAATTTGTTGAGTTTGTCAGTATCCCAAAGAAAACCCGTACTAGAATCCTGTGATGTTGTCCGCCCCGCTGTCCAGTGCTTCTTAAGTTTCAATTTCATTTTGGCGACCAGCAAGTGATGATTTGATGTTGCATCACCTCCTCTCCTGGTTCTCACATCCTCCATCGTCCTCCTGAACTTTTTGTCGATGCAGATATGGTCGATTCGGTTCTGCGTAGTGTGAGCCAGTGAAGTCCATGTGGTTTTGTGTATGCATTTGTGTGGGAATATAGTGCCGCATATGACCAGTTTATTGAAGGCACATAAGTTTGCAAATCTCTCACCACTTTTGTTTCTTTCTCCTAGTTCATGTCGTCCCATGATGTCTTCATATCCGGTGTTAGCCATTCCAACCTTGGCATTTAGATCTCCCATCAGAATGGTCAACTTCTTTGTTGGGCACTTCTCGACAATTGACTTCAGCCAATCGTAGCGTCGGATGACGTTCATTGTAATGCCCTCTTTCTTTGTTCTGAAGGAGGCTTTGATGATCCTTGGTCCATGAGATTGCCATCCCACAAGTACATTTTGTGCTTCCTTGGACAGCATCAATGCAACTCCTTGTGCTTGTGGAGCATTTTCTTCATCATGGCCGGAGTATAGCAGAAGCTCCCCTGAAGCTATTCGTTGTTGTCCAACCTGCGTCCAATGTGTTTCACTGACCCCAAGCACCTCCAGGTTGTATCTACTTATTTCTGCAGCAATTCGGAAAACTCTCCCGGTCGCCCACATTGTACGAGTATTCCATGTACCTAAATAAATAGTTGCTATGGTTGTCAGAAGGGGAATGGGCCTCGTGACTTCCGAAGGAACTCGACTCTCATTATGAGGCGTCATAGTCAGTCAGTCAGTCAGTCACAAAGTAGAACTTCGTCCGTACGTACATCAGTTCGAGTTGCCACACCACATTAGCACAGAGATGCAGTACTTACTTATTTCCTTAGACCTGTTACACCTCGTGAAGGAGCATAGGCCGCTCACCAGCATTCTCCATCCAACCCTGTCCTG